GAGGGACAGCACAGGAGAGGAAGGCCCTCTCTGAGGTGGATTTATTCAATGACTGGGATAATCGGGATGGGAATGTCAGAGACTGTGAATGGCACAGGGCAGAGTAGAGTTTAGGGCTGTTGTACATAGGGTCGCTATGAGTCATCAACAGCACACAGCAACAACAACAACAATTAATAGTTCATGAGTCTCAAGTAGTTTTTGTTTCAGAAAGACCTGCTGTAGTATAAAGGAAACCATAGAGGCCGAGGTGGGTAAGGGACTTTGCTGACATCCCTAACACAGGCAGTTGAAACCTACCAGGCGTTCTGTAGAGAAAGAGGGGCTGTATCCTCCCTGCAACTTACAGACTGTGAAAACCTGCCTGAGGGTCATCTATGAGTCAGTTATGACTTGAAGGTGTATAACAACGATGACGGCAACAACAACAAAAACAACATCATTGTATATATATTGACCTTCCCAAAATGTTACCATAAGCATTTGGGATGCTGTAGATCATATAAGTGAAGTGGCTTGACTACAAGGAATACTTGTTGAGCATTAGATTTGAATAAAAAGCTAAATTATTTAAACAGTGTTGTATTATACTTGCTTTAGTAAAATCATAACTTTTCTTAATTAAAATATGAAAATTTTATCTAAGCTGAAGAAATACTATATATTGATAGTCAAATATATAAGCATGTGATTAAAATATTTCCTGAATATCTGAAAAATAGAAGTTGGATTATGGAGTGGTTATCTTTTTGTTAATAAACCAAATCATGTTCTTCTGTTATTGAGAGTTTTAATAATAGTTCTTATAATAATATCTTAAAAAATAAATTTTGGTTCAAAATTCATTTATAAGGATAAATTTTTCTGTTATTTAGAGAATAGGTCAGAAAAGTTCAGGAATGCTAGTAAACTATTTCCATAATCATTGACAATATTTTAAAGAATAAATTCTCATGTAAAATAGAGAAAAAATAAAAAAGGAGAATATTATAAGATGAAAAAAATGACAAATGCTTAGATCATTTCATAATTGCCGTATTACATTATAATGTAACTGCTAAATTGCATCATGATATACCTACCTAAGCACTGAGAACGACAGCCCAGCCAACTAGACAGACAACTTAATCTGAGCAACACTCATTACTCTTGGTTTACACCTTGGCATTTGTTACTACCTGATGTCATTAATATGCAAAATCATCATTAATATAACAAAATAGTCAAGTAGTAAATTTTCTTCTATGTTGAATGTGAAATGTTGCATAACAAGTCAACAAGTAAGGAGAAAATGTAATTACAAGCATTGCATTAAGTTCACCACTGTAATGTTTTTTTGTTTGTTTGTTTTGCTTTTCTTTTTTTTTACTTTGAGACATGATGGAAAAAATCTTAGAGGAACACATGGAAAAATAAGACATGATTACATTGATAGAGACAACCTAGCCAGAAAGCTTTGTCAATTCTGAGTGTGATATGCTAAAGGGCTGAAAGGAATTAGTACTCTCTTCTCCTTCTTCCTCGCCCTCTCCTTCAACAGAATCCACACCCACCTCCTCATAATCCTTCTCAAGGGCAGCCATGTCCTCACAGGCCTCAGAAAACTCTCCTTCCTCCATCCCCTCACCCACGTACCAGTGAACAAAGGCACGCTTGGCATACATCAGATCAAACTTGTGGTCCAGGCGAGCCCAGGCCTCAGCAATGGCTGTGGTGTTGCTCAGCATGCACATAGCTCGCTGCACCTTGGCCAGGTCTCCACCAGGCACCATAGTGGGAGGCTGGTAATTAATACCAACCTTGAAGCCAGTGGGGCACCAATCCACAAACTGGATGCTGCGTTTGGTCTTGATGGTGGCAATGGCAGCATTGACATCTTTGGGAACCACATCACCACAGTACAACAGGCAGCAAGCCATGTATTTACCACGGCGAGGGTCACATTTCACCATCTGGTTGGCTGGCTCAAAGCAAGCATTGGTAATCTCTGCTACAGAAAGTTGTTCATGGTAAGCTTTCTCAGCAGAGATAACAGGGGCATATGTGGCCAGAGGGAAGTGGATGCGGGGATAGGGCACCAGATTGGTCTGGAATTCTGTCAGATCGACATTCAGG